TATATATATATATACATACACACACACATATGTACTCTAAATGTGGCAGGGCAGAGTGGCTCATGCCTGTAATCCCAGCACTTTGAGAAGCCAAGATGGAAGGATCACTAAGCCCAGGATTTTGAGACCAGCTGGGTGACAAGCAGGACCTTGTCCCTAAAAAAAAATATACACACACACACTTATATATATTTGAAAGCCAAGTACTTCTTACCATCTCTCCCTCCAACCATTTTAGTCCAAACCATCATCTCTTCATTAGATTATTGCAATAGCCTCCTAACTGATCTCTATGATTTCTACTTTTATCTAAAGTTTATTACCCACAGAGCTGCCAGAGAGATCCTTTTACAGCAGCAGTCAGAGCTTGCCAGAGCCCTGCTCAAAATTCTTCAGTTGACTCACAGACATCTGGAGTAAAACCCAGTATAAAAAGCCCTACATATTCTGGCTTTTGTGTATGTTTTTGGCCTCATTTCCTTTTCCTCTCTCCCTTGATTAATTCTGTCCTAACCACACAGGCCTTCTCAAACATGGCCAAGCACAGGACCTTTGCTCTTGTTATTCACTCACTTGGAATTACTCTTCCTCTGGATATTCCCACAATTTGTTCCTTCACTTTATTCAGATCTCTGAGCAGTGACTCCTAATTGCTGGATCTAGGGGCATCTTCTTAGTCCTCACACTTGACTGCTTTTCAGCGTTTGACATGATCAGTTTTCCTCTATAGCTTTCACTTTAGTTCATTATGAAAGTACAGGTAGAGTATCCCTTGTTCTAAATGCTTGAGACCAAAAATGTTTCAGATTTTGGAATTTTTCAAATTTTGGAATATTTGCATGTACGTAATGATATATCTTGGGGATGGGACCTGAGTTGCAACACAAAATTCGTTTATGTTTCATATATATACCTTGTACACATAGCCTAAAGGTAAAATTATATAATATATTTAATAACTTTATACATTAAACAAAGTTTGTGTTAAGGACACATATGTGGAATTTTCCACTTGTGGCATCATGTGCATGCTTTAATAAAAGTTTTGAATTTTGGAGCATTTCAGATTTCAGATTTTTGGGTTAGGGATGCTCAACCTATAAGAAGTTCTCATGGTTTAAAATAAAAGGGACAGAAGGGCATAAAATGAAAAGAAAGAATTCCTCTTATCTCTATTCCACTTCTCCAGCTGTAACTGTGGAGAGTTTCTATTGTTTCTTTCTAAAAATTTTGTGTGCATATGTACACATATATGTATTCTTTTTATTTAAAAAAGTCACATAGACTCATATGTTCTGCTATTTGCTTTTTTCACTTAGCCATATGTATTTTAGACATCTTCCCACAGGTAGTACATTTGTCTTCTTTTAAGTAGTGTATTAAGAAAGTATTGCTGGCCGGGTGCGGTGGCTCACGCCTGTAATCCTAGCTCTCTGGGAGGCCGAGGCGGGCGGATTGTTTGAGCTCAGGAGTTCGAGACCAGCCTGAGCAAGA